GCCAATTGACATCACCATTTCGACTGATTAAACGGCCATCGAAGGTTTCGCGCAATAAGTTGATTGTGGCATGCGATGTGTGACAAGTTGCACCATCCTGCTGAAACCAAACATTCTCCACATCAATACCATCAAGAGCAGGAACAAAAAATCAGTTATCATGGTGCGATAGGTGTTTTCCATTGACAGAAACGGTTGCGCCGTCACCGTCTTCAAAGAAATATGGGCCAATGATGCCTCCGCTCCACAATCCACACCAAACAGTCACTCGCAAGGGATGCATTGGCTTCTCTAAGACCTCGTGTGGGTTTTCCGAGCCCCAGATACGGCAATTTTGCTTATTGACGTAGCCACCAATATGAAAATGAGCTTCGTCTGAAAAGATTATTTTTTTCGCAAAATCGACATCATTGATTAGTTGCTCGTTGGCCCATGTAGCGAAGGCAGAACGAAGTGGATGGTCACGCGGCTTCAACTCTTGAACCAATTGAACTTTGTAAGGCGTCATACCGAGATCTTTCCGCAAAATTCGTCGTAAACTGGTGCGGGAAATGTTCAATTCTTGGGAACGATGACGTGTTGACGTTGATGGATTTTCACGCACACTCGCAGCCACAGCATCGATACCTTCGGGTGTACGCACTGTACGAGCACGCTGACGTGTTGGAGCATCAACAATGAAACCAGTTTCACGCACTTTATTAATAAACTTGCGTATACCGGGCGCTGTTGGTGCTTCGTTGCGACCGAATTTTGAACGGCATTTTCGTGCAATTTCTGCCCAATTGTCTTTGTTTTGGAAATAAATTTCCAATATTACCCAACGTTGCTCAAGCGTAAATCGATTCATTTCGTTCAGCGGAGATAATATACTGAATTTTATGACAAATCAGATTGACATAAGTATTGTCAGCGTCAAATTAACACGTGGTTCAAATCGAAACCGATAGATGTCCTCTTTGTATTTTCTTATCTTCCTTGGCTTTTAGAGAAAAACAAAAAGCAGTTAAGCCTCAGTAATGCTAAGAAGACTGTTTGCCTTTGATTTACATAGGTCTAATAAACCATTTACTGGAAGCAAGCTTGTGTACAGTAAAGGTAGTTCCTGAAGCGTATTCTTTGATATATTTTTTCTTCGATCTCACTATCGTGGGATCATCAGCAGAGTCACACTTATATTTCATTTCACGAAGCACGTCTGAGGAAATATGGACTTCCTTTATCTTATATATTTTACACTCTTCTCCGCAATCGACTTTGTTCCAATTTTCGGATTTTACCTTTTGTTTAAAGCTAATGGGTCCACGACTAACCGCAGACAGCGCTGTTTCGGTCTCTTCAGCCCTCATCAGTACGATACAGGTCTGTGTCAGATCCAGACTTTGAGATGAAAGAATGAAAAGTAAACACGCGAGTGCCGCCTTAGCAAAACCCCAGGACTGTGGTAGTTGAATTCTCTGTTAAACTTGTTTATTTCACAGGCATGACAGATACATACTGTGATGCGACAAATCCCAATGCATAACGTGCAGAAGGCGATGCTATGTTTGAGCCTTTTTGTTGTGTTAGACGAATTCGTCACCTATGGTAGTAAAAAATAAGACTATTTATGAATCAAACTTCGCTTTACTTAACGGTTCAGAAACTCCACTTAGCTTCTTTGCATTTGCCAGAGCTATTTTGGTTCTTGAACTCATTTTAGTTCGCTTTGAAAACTGCTCTTTTCATACAGCTACTACTTGAAACGTTTTTGGTATTAATTAGCATATCCTCAAACTATGCAGCGAAAATCATAGTAAATCAGACAGTAAGTCCAACAGTAAGTTCAGCTTTCCGTGATTCTGCGCATCGAATACTAAAGTAATTCAATTTGATATAGTTTTCACGGGAGCAATGGCAACTATTATACTTACTATATGACGTAGAAGATTTACTGGTTCTCTATAGTTTCATGACTAGATACCATATTCTTCCACCAAAGAGAACACGATAAAGTCTATCGATACCGTATAGTAGGTCAAAAGCAAGGATTTTTGAGTTAGTACTTTAGCTCTATTTTTTAAGACGAAAAATGCTGTCAAGTATGTTGAATCTGCATTCCTCACCCAACGCTGTTACCAGTTCATAAGATATTGTGTTCGGTTATTGCTAGCCCATCTAAGAATAAAAGTTAGTTATGCACATGGATAACAACAAATTTTAATGTACCAGTCAAACAGTCCCATACAATTAGTCAAACTGTCCAAAATGTTTTATAACGTTACCATCTTGAAGTTTCTCCCCTGTCGTACCGACATTGCATGGCTGGTATCATTCCTCCTGAGAATCTCGTTGGACCTGAAAATTTGCATATTAACTCCCCGATAAATTGGCTGCTATTCAAAAAGTTATGAGGGCAGATACACCTCCGCTATTCAAGAAGTTTTGACACACACACAATTAATTATCTCTCGCCGATGATCCGATGCCCAAAGGAAAACTACTAACTTGCCCGCACCACGCCACTACAGCCTCGCTTATGCCTATCACCATATGCCATATCGCGACGCAGTTATACGTATATGCAGGTCCACCCGAGTTGAAAAGTTTTAAGGGCAAATCTATTATGTGTACTAACACTAGTAATGCAGAAAAATTGAGATATACCCTCCTTCGTCCTTTACAACTCATAGCCCCAAGCATTTAACTCTACAGAAATTTTACTGAAAATGATCAGTGCCTCTCAAACGTCCAAAAGCGAAATCTTAGCGATTCTTGACTTTTTTCGTTTTCTTTTTGCATCTAGATCCGCCGCTACTAGATTTATTTCAAAAAAACTACAATGCTTGTTCTTCTTAGATTGTAAGAACATTGTACTAGGCAAAACAAATAGGTGACCAGGCGGACAAGTCTACCTTATGAATAAACTTTCCTGGCGGTAAGTTCCGTTTTTCACACCACATACTCCTTTATACCCTAGGGCGGTATAGTAACTTTAGCGCCCGCTATGCAGAAATTAATCTACGAGCATCTTGTGTGCTCGACAACTTTTCTTATTCACTGGCTGCTAAGAAATACAGTAGTGCGGACAGTTTGGTTTTTTTCCAATCATACTCAAGAGCGGCTCTAGATTTTGACTTTTAACCTACTTGACCCATGACGACATTAATGAGAGCCCATCACTGCTCTCACAGCTGTACTGAGATCGGTAGACAGTTACTATCTTGTAGACTGTAGCCCCATTGATTTTTAAAGCTAACGTGCGCTTGCTGTAAACGTGGGCATGGTCCAAGTTTACACCGTGATCACTAACGCTGCGGGCTACGTCGAGAGCTACTCTAGCTCATAGAGTATGGTTTGAACGGGATTTGCTGCATTATCTCTCAGCGGAGGCGCACATCTTGGGCTTAGCATAGTAAAGTTGTAGTCGCCGTTCTTGGCGGGTCAACGTAAGACTACCAATATCCCTTTATACGAGTATATCTCAATCTCCCTTATACATAAACATGCAACCTACCCCTGTATGTGAACGTTTGTTCGGTAAGCTCAAAGACATACATTTTTTAGTTTTGTCTCCGTGTGTCTCGAAAACTTTGCGTTACGTATGAGTGCCCTTCAATCATATTTGTCAGAGTGACAACTTGTTTGACATCGGCGTGCAATTTGAGTTGTTCTGTTATCAATCTTCAATATAAAATTGTGCAATCCCCGGAAATACGATCATTGGAGAAGGTCGACAGCTCGTGCTAAATTTATTAGAGTATTTCCAGGAATAGAACGAAAACAGCGGTCCCCTGTTACTC